ATATATATATATATATATATATATATATATATATTTATATATATATATATATTTACAAAGGCTCAAACTGACTAGAGAGAGGATAAGAACTATCTGTTAGAATACTCCTCACCACCTTCTTTGTCCTTTCAGCGTAGAGAGCTTCTGTATCCTACCTACTATTTTACGTGCCATTACCACAATTCTGGACAGTTTGTTCTTGGATTTGCAGTTTAAATGATCGTACAAGGCAGAAATATTAAAAGTGAATACACTCTCAACAATGGATTTGTACACTAAATGATTTTAAATGATTACAATAATTATTGTACCTTGAGGCATAGGATTTACTCAAATGAATTTAAGCATTTTCAGCTTGTTACAGGGCGGACCTGAAAATCTCAATCTTCACCCAGATGCATCTACAATATGAAACAAACAAACAAACATCAAATAATAAAGCTGGGCACACCAGTGTGAATACACATACAAATGCTCATTAAACCTCTTAGACTGACATTTATCTGGGGAAATTAATCATCGAGCACTGGCTCTCTGTTCATCTGTGAGCAGTGGAAATGTGGCTCTGGGTGTTCCTCATGCTACAGTTTACTGAGTCTACTACAGGCTACTAACAGAGACATTTACATTTTGCCAAAGAGGTTCTCCAAATACCAATAAATCAGCATTAATAAAGGCAAAACACTGAATCGGTTTATTTGGTCTTTCATCACATTTATGAATGTCACACTCAATTGATCACTGTCTGTGAAGAGAAACTGCAATAGAGAATGTAAAATACTATGTAACTTGAAAATGAAAACAGATCAAAATTGAAGGTTTGTATTGTATGACTGGGATTTTGGGGGAATATTTGGTTGCCAGCCAGGGAAAACCATACAGTATTTCCAATCAGTAAAAAAAAAAGATATGGCACAATAGGTCAGAATAGACTGAAGGTACAACATTTAACAAATATATTGGCCAATAATAATATATGTCAAGCCAGCTCATTTACTTAATACTGTGCGATTTACGTTTCTATAAGAGGAAGGAAACTTAAACAAAGGCAGAGAAAATAACTAGATATTGCAAAGATGAAGGAAAATACAGTTTTCAGAAAAGCAATATGGGAGAATAAGAATCAACCAGAGAGGACAAAACCAAAAAATCTGTTAATAGTAGTTTCAGTAATTACAGCTGCAGTGTTCGTTTGTGCAGGATTTTATTTGGATGCCTTGATTCATAAGTGTTATTAGAGGGAAAGGAACTGGTTTAGACAGAGCATGTTTCTGTTTGGCTCAAACGCTTCTGACCCACGGCTAATTATCATAAAGGCCTGAATGTGGAAAAATAGACGTCATTCAATTCTGACTGCTGGCAACTGCGTTAGCATGCATGCTTTTTTGTTTGTTTGAAGGATGAGGCAGTTTTCCAAATAAGCCTTGATGAAATTTCCATTTATAGGAGGACGGTGGCCGCTAATTACAGTCAAATCTCTGGAAGCAACCCCAATGCCCCAGCAATCCCCTAACCTCCTCTAATAAATGTTTATTCAGAGAAAGCTGTAATTATGCTTTGCATAGGGTTTTTTTTAGTACATAATGATCCGAGCTACATCATTTTGTCTAAAATAGCGAAACGAGGTCATAATGGAATCAAATTGTTAATGAAGATAATATCACAGATTATGCTTGGCATTGAATTTGATGAATTTTTATCACTTGTCCCTTAAGATAGGCATGAAAATTTGACTTTGTGTATAAATAGTTTTTTTTCTTTCAGTCCTGAAGAATAAATCGTCTAAGAACTGTGCTGAATATTTCCACACTGAGGGACTTCCACAGCTGCTCATTTGACTGAATCTTCTCTTGCCTATGTTACAAGTGAATTGTAAACTGTAATCAAGTTAACTCAATCTCTTAAAGTTCTTTCAGTAAAAAAGTGTCTTCTCAGCTTTACTAGAAGTGTTTGTTGTCAGCGTAACGTTGTTTAACTTTAGCTGAAAAAGACACACATCAGCTAAAGCCTCACAGATCATTGATGGACAAATGCATTTTGCAGAAGCAAACGTGTAATTAAATGGCCATTGCAGGAGACTTCATACAGTTACTTTAGAAACGATTAAATATTCATACAGAAGACATCTCCTCTGATTCACACTGAAAACAGCATGACTGGAGCACGCTGCTGTAGTTTCTGAGGAGTGTGATTGTGTTAAACAAATGAGCTAATTGGTGAAAGCAGTGATGAAAAGCCACAGGGTAAGAATGCTCATTTCAAACCATCAACCAATGAAATCAGTGAAAGTGTAAGGGAGTAGCAATTAAACACTAAACCTGTCCTCTGTGCACTTTAGTAATTACTGTTCATTTTCTGGCATTAGAGTTGGTTAGGGTGAACGAACGCAGTGCCGTCAGTGAGATAAATGTGCTCCTTCTACAGTTTCTTTGGCGGTTATGAAACTCTTCTTGTGTGTAGCAACCGAAAGTTTGATTTTGAAATTTGGAGTCAAATTACAGCAGCTGAAAGCATCGCTCTTGACTGATGAATCTCTGAGTTCAGGAGGCTGGAAGCAGGTCTCAGTATATTTCAGTCTGGAGAAAAGACACCCCATGATGAAAAGAAGCCAGCGACTACACAGCCGAGTACAGACACATAAAACACATCTCTTCTACTGTACCTTCTTTTGCCTCTTTCTTTTAACCATTTACTTCTTCCAAATGCTGAATTTGAAACATGATCCAAAAACATGTAAATCAACTAAATCCAGGGTCATAGCTGATTCTGGTACTGTGTCTTAAAGTCATAGTTTACTTAAAAATGAAAATTGTCATCATTTATTCTCCCTTATGTTGTTTCAAATCCATATAACTTTGGTTCATCTTTGGAACACTAATTAAAGGGATAGTTCACCCCAAAGTGAAAATTACCCCATGATTTACTCACCCTATCCCTTTAAACCATCCCTTTAAGATATGTTTGAATGAATCCTGAGAGATTTCTGTCGCTCCATTGAAAGTCTATCCACCCAAAACTTTGACGCTTAAAGATATTGTAAATGTAATCCATATGAATCGAATCCAAGTCTTCTGAAGAGACACAATAGCTTTATATGATCCTCAGATTTAATTTAGGCGTTTATTGACATATAAACATTGATCAACACACAAACATAGAGCTCATCAAATGTAGTAAACACTCAGACGTGTAACTGCTAAATCACAAAGCTAAATGAAAAGAACACAAACTTTACCATCCGTTGCTGCATTGCAGGGAAGTGATAACGATTGTGTTTTTATAAAAGACACAGCAGAGCGTGATGTCACATCTCATTTGTTGCAGTATCCAAAGTAAATCTGCATGCTCAGAGTCTAGTGTGAGCGTCTGTTCAGTGCAGGATTATTCCGATTCAAACTCAGTCCATGCGGTGACCAGTGATTACACTGGTTGTGTCTTTCTGGTTCCCTAAAAAGAACTGGACAACATACAGAAAGATGTGTTTTCTTGCTGTTATTTTGCAGTAAAGCTCTTTTTACGTCGTCACATTGAAGCGCTGCTGCAGCTTTGCATTAGAATGTGAAAGTCAAGTCACCTTTATTTATATAGCGCTTTTAACAATACAGATTGTGTCAGAGCAACTGAACAGCATTAATTAGGAGTCACAACAGTCACACGATCACTCTGTTGTTGGAGTTTAGTTTCAACTCAGTATATATTTTTAGTAAGTCAAACTCTTTAATTCTGTAAAGCCTGATAGGAGAAATAATGGAAAATTAGTTTTTTTGTAAATGGAACACATTACTGAACCTTAGACAAAATCTTTAGAATCTAAAAATATCAGTATCATATTTGATACATCAGGCTTTTATGGCTCATATAGTCTGAAATAGTGAGAATATGGAGGATATTTCTGCTGCTTGTAATGTAAATCAGTGAGATCTTTATAACAGTACAGCAGATACTGACATAAAATGATATAAATATCAGTCGTCACTCTATATCTCCAGTAATCTGTCTCCGTAAAATGAGATTGAAATGATCCAAACATATAATGCAATGCAGTGCAGTGATGATTGAGAGATGAACAAATAAGCGCTCCTCAAAAGATCCTGATGATCAGATTTGAGACGCACTGATTTCTCTAAAAGCTGCTTCAGTCCAGTAAGTGTTCATCTGGAAATATGACTGCAGTTATTCTGACGTTTACTTGATCAAAACCAGTCAAGATCTGACATGAGAACCTCCAGCTGAAGCTGGACGCTTGTACAATTACACTAAAAGAGCTGTGACTTGATAACAAACTCTAAACTATCAATCAGAGACAGAAGCATGGAGTAGATTGTGTGCGACCGGCTTAACAGCAACGTTTTGATTGCGTTGATCATTTTGAAATTTGTGTATCAATTATGATGCAGAGTTTATAGGGTTAAAAACGTCAAGGAAAATGTATTCTCTCATGATATGACCCTTGAAGGGATTTTTTTTCCTCTGAGTCCATTAAAAAGCCGTTTTTGGTTTTAACTTTGACCTTCAATTTTAGTAAGTGCATGAGAAAAAAGCAAATCCACTCCAGTCCAGTCGATGCAAACCAAGAGTACAAAGCACTGCTATACTCTAAATATAAAAAACAATGCATCTAATCAGAGCGACTGGGCTGATGTGTAATCAAACTGTGATCAACAGTGGAGAGAAAAAATCAGAGGAAAGAAAAGAAACAGAAGAGACAGAGACAGAGAGAGAGAAGGGAGATGAGATCAAAGATGCATTGGGTTTCTTGATCAAATGTCACCGTATGTAAATGAAGCCGTCAGGAGCACAAACCAGAGACATGATAAAGGCTTTTAATCTTCTTGAAAATGCCTGTCATGAATTGCTCATTTAAATAACTCAAGACACCGAGTCTATCGAGAAAAACATCAGTCTGTTCTGATGAAGAGAAAACACATCAAGCTCCTGCAGTCACACGCTTCAGGACCTGAACACTGCTTTCACTCAGGTCCAGTATAAGATGCTGCGATTCTTCTGCTGTGGGATTTTAAATATGACATGGACAAGCAGCATGGAAAAGCTTGTTTAGTTGATGATGATTTCAGCACTGATGCACCACACCTGAAGTCTTCTCAAGACATGAAAAACTGGTTATTCTCTAAACATCTCGGCCTTCATACCATTTCAACACATACTACTCACAACTGGCATATTGTGATGTTGATGAGTTTCAGTGATTCCCTCGGTTTGCTTCTGAAGAGCCGTACAGCACGTGAGCTGGATATAGTACTTTTCTGCTGTTTCCCAAAAGAAATCAAATCCTAACTCTGTCTTTTATACGGACATGTTTCAGAGAGGCAGAAAGCACAGATCATCCTCCATTAGCAGCACTGAAAGCCCGTGTTCACTAATTCGGACATGCACTAGTGTGTTTGTCTTCTCTGTTGATGTCATTTGTTCAGATAACAACAGAAAACACAGAGAAGCAGCGGCTCTCTGGAGTTCAGAGGTCAGTCAGTGAAGCATTAACCAGCCGCCGTAAATCCCTCTCAATCATCACGGGTTTCAGCTTTGCCTCAGAGCTCAGAGTCCAGCTCCAGAGACCGAGCTGATGTCCACTGCAGCGGCGTTCCTGAGCGAGGTCCCGGGATGGTTTCTGTGGACGGGAGTCTTCTTCCCCGTGACGGCTCTCCTGCTGCTGCTCATCGCTCTCCTCAGCTGGAAACTCCGAGAGAGTAAGACTCTTACACTGACGTTAGCCATGAGAAGCAATAGGGAAACCGGGGAGACGGAACATATACAGTATATACATTACCATTCAAAAGTTTGAGAACATTTTAAAGGCTGCATTTATTTGATTGAAAATAGTCAATACAGTAAAATAGTGAAATATTATTACGGTTTAAAACAGCTGTGTTCTGTGTTATCTGTGTTAAACTGTAATGTATGTCTGTGATGTGCAGCTGTATTTTCAGCATCATTCCTCCAGTCTTCAGTGTCACATGATCTTCAGAAATCAGTATAATATGCTGATCTGCTGCTCGAGAAACATTTCTGATTATTAGCAATGTTGAAAACAGTCGTGCTGCACAATATTTTTGTGGAAACTGTGATGCTTTTAATTTTTCAGGATTCACAGATGAACAGAAAGAGAAAGTTACTTCTGCAACATTATAAGTGTCTTTACTGTCACTTGTGATCAATTGAATGCATCCGTGGTGAATAAAAGTATACATTTCTTTCAGGAAAAAAAAACTAACTGACCACCACCTTTTGAATAATAGTGTTTGTGTATATACTGTATATTCCCATCATAACTCAAAGGCTCAATGAAAATAACCATGAATAATGAGTTGAGTGTGTGTATGAAAAAATTACAAGCAGGACCTACATTATATTTATTTGCAATATGTCAAAAGTGCATTTACTAAAACATATTTATAAGCTGATAATTTAAAAAACTTCAGCTAGATACTTCAATGAAATAATATTTTTTACATATTTTAAGATTCAATCTTACAGTTTCATGATTTTTATAACTGGTGATAAAACCATCCCAGCCTTGTCTAGTAGCTGCACTAGCATCTGTTATTCATGTTAACAATGCATCATCATCATCATCATCATCATCATCAACTTAAGACACCAGCAGGAAATACTGGATATGCGCACACACACACTCTCACACTCACACACAGGTTTGTTTTTGTGAAAAGTGGGGACTCTCCATAGGCGTAATGGTTTTTATACTGTACAGACCGTATATTCTATTGCCCTACACCAACCCTACCCCTAAACCTACCCCTCACAGGAGACTGTCTGCATTTTTAGATTTTCAAAAAAACGAATTCTGAATTATTTATAAGCCTTTTGAATTACGGGGACACTGAAAATGTCCTCATAAATCACCTTCTCGTTGTAATACCTGTTATACCCATGTTATTATACAAATTTGTGTCCTCATAAACCACATAAACACACACATTTATCCTTTACCCATTTATAAACTCTGGTAACGTTATACTTTTGAAAGGTAATAAAGATTCTCTCTCACACACACACACACTCTCTCTCTCACACACACACTATCTCTCTCTCTCACACACACACACACACACACAAACTCTCTCTCACACACACACACAAACTCTCTCTCACACACACTAACTCTCTCACACACACACACTAACTCTCTCTCTCTCACACACACACACGCACACAACCTTTGTACTATTTGTCAGTTTTCTCCTAGATTAGAGAATAAGAGAATAGATAAGAGAGATAAGAGAAAAATAGAGTTTTTTTATTTCTCTACCTTAATTTATTTTCCTTTGGAACAGGAAATGAAGAATGAAAGCAGCATTCCTGTGAAGGAGCAATGCACATTTTGTGAATAATACAATTAGAAAATACAGAGCCATCAAATATCCTTTGTGTTTGAATGACAAAGAATTAAAGATGCTGTTTGATCAGATGCTAATGAGACAATGTTAGTATGTTTGAAACATAAAGCTCATGTAACTACAGAGGACCTAGCAGTGATTTCCCCAAACAGCCAATTTACCATTAGGTTCAGTTTAGTCTGCAAAGGTTAAAACCCAAAAATGAAAATCATACCGTCATTTACTCACTCTCATGTTGTTTCAGACCTGTATGAGTTTGTTTCTTCTGCTGAGCACAAAAGATGTTTTGATGAATGCGTGTAACCAAAGAGCTGACCGCAGCCATTGACGTCCAGTGTTTTTTCATACTATGGTAGTCATATACTATGGCTATACCAGCAACTGTTTACTTGCACACTTTTATCAAAACAACACGTTTTGTGTTCACCAGAAGAAAGAAATTCATACAGGTCTGAAACAACATTAGAGTGAGTTTTCAGGTGAACTGCCCCTTCAGTAAAACTGACACGCCGTAGTGCAGATGAGAAGCTGAGAGTTTCTCGGGTCTGTCACGGAGGTCTTTTTGCATGTAGATAAAAGAGTGTCAGAGACTCCAGACGATGATGAGAGAGAGTCTACGTGCTGGTGTTCATCAGACTCCCTTCTATCTTTCAGCAGAGGAACAGCTGGCCGTGACACCAGACCCGTGGCAAACAGCCTATCATCTGTGTTACGGGCCGCGCTGCAGACACAGGACAGAGCGGACAAGACGAGCATGAAACACACAGAACACCTGTGAAGAGTCGGTCCAGATCACCTGAGCCATCAGAGACGAACGAGAAGCGTGCATGTGACCACATCAAGCTAGATTTAGACGCACCTCTCCTCACACGACAGACTGGAAGTCATGAGACACACATGCATATTATTCAAAAAGAAAAGTTTCCATGTAGTCTGCTGTACTCATCTTCAAATGCGTGTTGTGTTTGTAATGACTATCATTACCAGTTATGTTGAGCCTCTTCCTTTACTGTTCCAACAGCAAAATCATGTTCTTTACAGTATCCTACTCAACTACATCAGAAATGGCTGACGACATGAATGTCAAAGATGTCTGAGGACACATCTTCACACTTAAGGCTTCAACTTTATCAAGAGTAATGAGCAAATACCAGAGACAGAAATCTCCTGTTCTGCGCTATATTTAATGGAGCCGCACAGCAGGATGAACTTAAAGAGTACGCTGTGTCACGCAGCAGGACACAAAAACAGCTTGTGTGCTCTCAGACATCACAACACTCTCAAGGTCTTGCAAGGTTTTAGTTGTATTTCACAGCTCTCCTTATTCTGATTGTTCAGTCACAGCACAGCGACTGACTGAAATAAAAACGGCCTCGGGAGAACTTCAGTAGTACTTTTACAATGAATAAAAATGGTTTGAGAATCTCCAGTTAAAGCAAGAAAAACACAAACCATCTAGCTCAGAATGCATATGAATATAAATGAATATTGTAATGTTTGTGTTGTTGTAGTGGACTATCACTTGTATCATGCATACATTTCAGCTTCCAGCCAGTCACTTTATTTTATTGACCAATGCCAATTTTTACATGCATCTGGAGCTTGGCGTGAATTAAAGGTGCATTCAGCAGTTTGGTGCTTTTTTATTTATTGTTTTTAGTTTTTACCCATTAAGAAATAAATAGTGTTTTTGTTTAGAGTCATCTGAATGGTGCACGCTCACAGGAGATGAAGATTGCACTTAATCATTTCATACACAAACCATTTTAATTATATGGTGAATTCAGGTCAAATGGGACACTTACGACCATCGAGATGAATGGGGAAAAACCCTATTAACCCTGGTGCAAATCACCTCAGCGAAGCTCATGTTGAAATGACCCGCGGTGTTTCACTAAACGAAGGAGGAAACCTCTCGTAGAGCAGTTTGATGTGAAGAGTGAAAATTAGACAATGGAACACTTATCTTGCTTGATCATGAATCAGAACCTGTATGACCAAAGAAGCAAAAAAGCCCTAAAGCCAGAAGAAAGAGTGACTAAAAGTGTAAACAATGGTTTGGCAGACACACTGGCATACAGTTTAATGACATACGGAGAATCCTGAGTAGTGACACCCAAGCTGCTTCTTTTGTCCTGGACAGGTAAAGGACTCATTATCATGTGTAGACGCTAGCATGAATGTGTCACGCTGACGGATGCTACTGCAGCATCTAACATCACTGCTACAACAGTGATGCTAACGCTAACTAAACAACTACTGTATGCACCTTGAATTTTGGACCCCGAGTGCAACCATCCCATCAAACCCCCCACAAACACAAAGCTTCACACACACCCAGTCACTGAAGATCAAGCCGTCTCACGATTATTAGAGAATAAACAAATTTTAATTGGAAGAGTGTTACACAAAGGGTCGGGTGGGGCATAAAAACATGACAGATCATCCAAAGCTGCTTAAAAAAAAGAACAGAGTCAATTCTACCATTAACTGCTATACACAGGGCTGATGGAGCAGATGGGAGAGAGAGAGAGAGAGAGAGAGAGAGAGAGAGAGAGAGCAGGGAGCACGGGCCTCGCTCGACCGCTAAAAACATCAGCACTGGCAGTTCAATCTCATTTGTTCATTTAATCACAAGTATCTCAAACAGATTAAAAAGATTTAAAAGGGCAAACGGAGCGACCTCCAAAATCATCAGATTTAAAACAAAGAAAAACAGGTTTCTTCAAATATATATATCTGAATATTGGTGCCAGAAAATGAAAAAGTTCCCAAAGAGCTGCCTAGGTTTCATGTTGAATGGAGTTTTTGCATTTCGTCTTGTTGCTGAGAGAGGTAACGCCGCTCGTCCTCTCCTCGGTGGAATGTTTGAGGTTTTGACTGCATAGAGGAATGATTGCCGTCCACCAATGAAAATCACACAGTGCCACTGTCCTGTGCTGGTCCCTTACAAACACACGTGACATCAGGAAAGCCCACCCATCTTTAGCTCCGCCCCCATCATAACCCCACCCCTCAACATCGCCTTCATATGCTCACATGCTCCTCCTATTATTATTATTATTACAAAGGACTCCATCACAACGTGATCCATTACTCCTCCTCATGAACTAGGAATGTGAATGACTAATTAACAATAAAAATAACATCAATCTGGTCTTCATAAATGGTAAAGACGATCTTTTGAGGGAAAGAGATAAAACGAAGACTAAAAAAATAAAATGCTACAAATGTTAGCTAAGTGGTTCTGGTTGTGAAAGACAGAAGATGAAGATGTGTTTCTGTACAGGATCAGAGCTGCTCTTCTCTCCTCCGGATGAAGGGATGAACTCTGAGCCGTGGAGGAGCGCGCTGGACTTCAGCTCTGTGAAAGAAGCCACAGCAAACACCGTTACTATCTGTATCTCCACAGTGTCCTCGCACATCAAACTCAGTCACGCGGAGAGCGGGGTAAGATGTACCACTCTTACGAAAGCTAAGAGAACACAGATGAGACTAGTACCTCCTGAGCCACAGAAAGATGTGCTCTACAGTATAAACGTATTCATGGCACTATCACACTGTCACTCATGTCAAGTTGAGGAATACAGATTACATTTAAAAATTCACACATATATATATATATATATTTATCAAGGCCTGTTAATTTAATGTGGTAATTTGGCATGATTAATTATAAAAAATAATAATAATAACACTTCAAAATGATTAAAGCAGTGCCCCATCCAGACCTGTCTGTCATCTTACACTGATGATGCAGGATGACTAACTTCATATTTATTGAACTATTGTGTAAAATCAATATCAATCCATCATGTAGTCAATGTTGTGTTACATTTTAGACACAGTATTGTCAAGTATTGCGTTTTGCTCAATTTCACAAACGAAAATAGTTGAATTCACAGCAGAACTGCTGGGCGTCTCTAAGCAGCACACAGCAGTGTTTCATTCCACAAATTTCTGTGGAGTGTTACAAGCTGTTCGTGAATAGATAAGATCCCTAAAGTTGCAAAGACTAAAGTCTCAAATCCAAAGAGATATTCTTTATAAAAGTTAAGACTGGTCCACGCCCTCCCCCACATGTCTACATCACTATGTGGGAAGATTTGCATAACGCCGCCCAAATGTTCACGCAAAGAAAGAAGGCTTAACTTTATTGTAGCTGCCGCCGCCATGTCGTGAAGACGCTGTGTGCTTCGTTGTGAAAGCGAAACTACTTTGTTTGGTCTTCCAAAAGAGGACACGACTAGAAATCAGTGTTAAGTTGTATTTACAACACTGTTCCAGAACACTTCAACCCAAATATAATCAGTAATTAAAGTGGCTTGCTTTACTGGAGACACTGAGCACGGCCTCTACTCGAACACTATAAGAGGTGCGCTCGATTTGAAGCGGCGCTGCGCAGACCGATCGGTGTCTGACATCAAAGTACCGCGAGAGCTCTAGAGAGCAGACGCTCTTTATGCTTTCGAATCGCTCTCGCGGTACTTTGATGTCAGACACCGATCGGTCTGTGCAGCGCCGCTTCCAGTCGAACACGTTTAATAACTATAGCGCATTAGCATCAGTGGTTCGCCCGCTCAATCACGAGTTACTGTAATTACCATAGTTACTACAGCCTACAGTTTGCTAGCTAGCTCTGCCTTCGTCACGTAAATGCATATTAGCTGGTTGCGATCATCTACAAAACAGCTCAGTCTCCTTATTTAAATGAAGCTGCTAGAGGTTGTAGTGATATTTGACAGTAGAGAGAGACGCCAGGCAGTTTTCCCGCGAGTGGCCGTGGCAAAGCGCAGACAGCGTGTTGAGAGCAGACAATACTGCTTATTTTTTCAAGATTTTGTTACCTCGTTTAATTTACTTGGCGTTTTATTAATCATTCAAATTTGGCTGGGTGGTTAATAACACATTTTTCTGCGGTGTGACAAACTCAGAACACATTTAATAGTGCCTTACACGGACTTTAACAAATGAGTTGAATGAATGATTCAATGACTCACTCATGAAGACAGTGACTTGCTGCCAAGTACTGGAGGTTTTATTGTAATATTTATTATTAAATTAAAAAATAATACCCATTCATCATATTTTCATTTATGCAATGTTGAGTCAAAATATTTTTTAAAGCTACTTTTTTGTAACGTCTTCTTCGATGCAATGACTTTAAACGATCGTTTGGGGAGTCATTTCTCAGCCAAAACTAATGTGCAATTAATAAGACTAACTTATCAGCACATTATGTAATCAGATTAAAAATTGTAATCACTTGACAGCCCTACTATCAGCTGATACACTGACCTAAAGTGTTATTTTCCTGCACATTATTTACATTTTCATAAAGCAGCCAGGATGAAATATTCAGATCATTACTGAAATACTCATATTTCATTGGCACATCTTACCCCGAAGCACCTGATACACTTTACCCCAGAGCTGGCATTCAATTCATAAACACTTCAGCCAAATCATTTCCATGATTTTTTCCCACTGATAATACATTTGATATTTTGGTGCTGGATATATTTTCTCACGCTTACTTTACCTGATGAGCCCTTTATAAATATATATTGTCACATGACACAAATCATGCTGTCTGCTAGACTGAGCGGTCACCCCTCTTTTTGGACTAGTGCACAAAAACAGTGTGCAAGTACCTCATAAAGACTTTAACCTTAAAAAACTGATGATCCTGCACTCAAAACTAGCTGCTGTTTGAAAAGTGGCAGGAATGTTTGGACGTTCAGCAGAGGTGCAGAACGGATGCAAACACTTCTCCACTGCAGAATGGGTTTACCATGATGAAGCTTCATACCGTCAAACTGAATATGATGTACTGTATCGCTGTTGAATGCTCAGCTGATGAAACACTAGAAATGACTCTGTATCTTCATCCCTCACAGCCTGATATTCACAGGTTGAAATGAAACATCTGAGCCCTGCTGCCGCCCTCCTCGGCTGGTATCGAGTACAGTCAGCCGTGCTCTAGATCTGAATACATTTCCTGCAGATATTCTGGCCTGTGAGCAGCAGCAGAGCTGTGATATTTCTAATCCCGAAACAGCACAGTCGCCCACTGCTGACACATCCGGAGGGAAGCACATCAGCAGCCACCTGTCCTCAGCGCTGAGAAGCGCCTTTAATCTTTCAGAGGAGTTCATTGATTCCTGGGGGTGAAGGTCATGCTGGAGACGTGACAGCGCTCATATGAGCACTACAGCACTGCACCTGTTCATTATGAGGTCCTGGAACAAGGACTGCTAATGAGATGATAGACAACAAATCTAGATGGCTTAAAATCAATGATGCCACCTAAACTGCACACAGAGTGATATCAGGCACTCTCAGTCTAGGATGCTTTCATTATTCTATAATTATAAGGTCATTAAAAAGTTATGAAATTTGGCACACTGATAGAGGACAGTCTGAACATTAACCACAGCAAATTTGGAGTCTCTAACTCAAACCCTCTAGCGCCACCAACTGTCCAAATCTGCACTCACATTTATGCTAATAACTTTTGAACCAAAGGGCTAAAAACAATTTTTGAATTTTTTTAAAAACCTTTTTGAACTCCTCTTAGACTGTTACTCTGATTTTCACAAAAAATCAAATCAGATCATTTTTAGACCAAAAATGTGTGGAATTCAAGTTTAGTAGTAAAGAGCACACAGAAATGAACTTGAGGATATTTCTCCTCAATGCTTTAGCGTATTGAGGTCAAACTTGGTGTGTATGATAACCATGACTTGTGAGTACCCGCAGTGTTTCAGCACAGTGCCACCTAGTGGTCAGGAGATATGAAAAATATTTTTGCTCATAACTTCTGAACGGTTTGGCCAAAAGTCACAAGACTGGTCTCTTTAGATTTGGTGCGACATACAAAGCTGAACCATACCCAATTTTCCCATGTCAGCCGTTTTAAACTTTGTTATAAAATGCTATATTTTACAAATGTATTGGTGTGTCATTACAAAACTCGGTATGTTTCATTGCCACCACGCCCTGAAAAAAAGTTTCAGGCCAGCGCTACCTTGTGGTCAAAATTATAATGATAAAAAAAAAATGCTAATAGCTTTTGATTAGTTTTGCTTATTATAATGCCACTGGTCTTGACAGATTCCTTGGATCACGCTGAGAACATCAATACCAATTATCCCATAATCGGCCAAACTTCCTGTCCGCCATTTTGATTTACAGGTGCATCTCAATAAATTAGAATGTCATGGAAAAGTTCATTTATTTCAGTAATTCAACTCAAATTGTGAAAAACCAACTTTTTCGAACTCCGCCTAGACAGTTTGTCCGTTTTTTCACCAAATTTGGCTCAGATCATCTTCAGACCATGGCGGCAAAAAGTATTTATGTATTTTGTTTTGAAAATCCAAACTGCTATAATTTAACCAATCAACAATTCTGATGGCATGATGAAAACATGATTCTGAGGCTGTATCTCTGCAAAGCATCGATATATATATATTGACAAAAACCTGTGTGTCATTGTCACTTCACACTGACCACACAACATCAATTTGACAACAGTGCCACCTATTGGTCAAACATAAGCAATTAATTAATATAACAATTGATTGGATTTATGACTTTTTTGCCTTGATTCATCTATAAATGTCTTTGATTACTCATTTTTGCAGTTGGGCTAATGTTCCTAGCCATGCTTGCTTAGCTCCTCATCTTGCCTCTGTTGTGCTTGCCTCTTTAACTGTCACTTGAAGCTATATTTATAATAAATACTAATATTTTTCTAAGTCTAATTAATTATTTTATTAGGTAGCAGTGATTAGCAAAAAAACATTCACTACAGTACTTAAAGTGTTTTATATTTCAAGGATGATGCAAGTCAGGGACTCAACATTACCAAATAATACTACTACTTGATTTTTCATGTAGAGATCATTCAAAGGTGTATGAGGATCCTCTAAAATAAGAGTCAGAACCAGTTCAGCACAAATGAGTGTTACCATGAGAAGCACACAGAGCAGACCCAGGACAGAGAAAAGAAAGAAACAAACACAAAAGGAGAGATGAATACAAGAAAAAGAACAAACAAAAAGGGAGAAACGACAGGCTCCAGGTCGAGGAGGAGGAGGAGCTGCCAGGTTGGAGCAGGAGGAGCCGGTTGTCAAGAGTGGTGCTTGTTGCCATGTGCTTACCTGTCCTTCAGTCCTCGTCCTCGGCGAGCTCCGTCTCTTTGTGGACCACCACGCGAGTGACGGACATGTCAGGGTGCTGCTCTTTGGCCTCCTTTATAGCCTGGGCCAATGCCTGACCCCGCCCACAGTAAACCAACACAAACAAACAAAAGCAAACAAAAGATTTAAAGTAAAAAATGAACAACCCAACACAAGAATGAAAACACAACACAGATGATGGGAAACATACATGCACGTGAACGACTGATGCTGGGACCTGCGTGAACGTCTCTCAGTCTACAGTCATGACCAAAACTTTTGGCACTGACATAAATTTTGTGTTTCGCAAAGTTTGCTGCTTAAGCTGTTGTGGTGTTCATTCACATGGTTTGTGTAGAGATTATTGTGTAGAGTGATCAGATGCACTTTAAATAATTGCTAAAAGCTTCATTGGCCAAAAAATGAACTTTTCACAAAAACTAATTTCACTGTTTTGACCCTGACACAAAATGACCAGCTAACATGAAAAAGAATGGTATCAAAACGTCCTGCAAGAGCGACTTCTTCCAACAATCCACGAGCAATTTGGTGATGATCCGTGCATTTTCCAGCATGATGGAGCACCATGTCACAAAGCAAGAGCGATAAAGAAGTGGCTCGAAGATCATTACATTAAAATGTTGCATCCGTGGCCAGGCAACTCCCCGGATCTCAATCCCATAGAGAACCTGTGGTCAGTCCTCACAAGGCGAGTGGACAAGCAGAAGCCCACAAATTGTGATCAACTCTGAGAACTAATAAGGCAAGAATGGATTGCCATCAGTCAGGATTCAGCTCAGAAGCTAATATCCAGCATGCCAGAGCGAATTGCAGAAGTTATGAAGAACAAGGGTCAACACTGTAAATATTGACTCATTATACTTTTTTGCCAATAAAAGCCTTTAAAACTTATGACATGCTTATCATTGTTTTTCAGTATATCATAGACGCATGTGGAAAATAATCTGCAAATACTGAAGCAGCAAACTTTGCAAAACACTAAATTTGTCACTGCCAAAACTTTTGGCCATGACTGTATGAGGATGGCAAATGTCACATCGCTATGGTAACCTGTGTGCATGTTCCCGACCTATCAGAAGCTGTGTGCATATGTGCGTCATACGACACAGACAGACAGAAATACCTCACGGCTAAAACAAGCACCTGTCGTCCTGCATCTGTGGAGCTGAGGATCATGAGCTCCTCCACACTACAATCACAGCTGCACACTGCGACTTTCTCAACTTTACGACTTTGCTCGTCAGACTGTACAATATGAACCCAGTGAGATACTGAATAAACGCTAAGAAAAATGGCAAGAAATCAGACGTATTTTAGGTTAGACTGTATGTAGGGTAACATGATGATATTAGATTATGAATGATTAAAAAGTCTTTACTGAGAGACTGGCTGACTTGCGTTATCGCAAAAGTTTATTATTGCATGTTTTAAAGCTTTGCCAGTTTAGACTTTCAAACAATTTTACTCACACTCTGTCCTGACATGCACAGAAAGCACAACAGCACACGAGTTTTCTTTTGTGTAATATTGCACTTAAACTGTCAAAAACACAAAGTTTACATAAACACAGTTGTCTCTGTCTTAAGTGATGTGTGTGTGAATGTGTGTGAATATACTAGATCAGTGCATTCGTCTTAAAGTGACAGCAGCCTAATAAACCTGCTGCTGTCTGTACCGTTAATGTGAAGTATAAGAGAACACTGCTTTAGTATCTCTCAACTTGAGTAGCTTTAATCAAAATCAATGTATATTTAAATTATACAGTGAAGACTATGTAGTGTTTTGTTTTTACACTTGATTATTCATTAATTTTTGATTAATTTCTGACTTGAATGCTGCTGTTAAATAGGCTTACTGTACCAGAAAAATTTAAGGCACTGTTTATTTTATTGTTATCTTATATTTGTCCTATTCTTTATCATTTGCATTTTTGCTCTCATTTTTAATTAACAATGCAATAAAGAGAAATCGCTCACCCCTGCATTTGCCTAAACGGTTTGTCATTCTTTTTTCGTTTACCTTGTAGGGCTATATTTGTTAAATAGGGAAATTAGTGTGGCTGTACTGCTCAGTAACTTGCAAAATAACCTTAAAAACTAACACGAAAAAGAATCATAAGTTTGTTGATCGTAATCCTGCCTGAAAAAATAAATCATAAGATATTTCTGCCATATCATCCACCCCGAACTGTATGATGTACATCTGAGGATTTGGTCGTGATTGACAGCACTGACTGATCAATCAGATCGAGTTCTGACATCCTCACTGATGACACACAAACCAAAGCAAGCTTTTGAGCAAACGTTTAAAAGGATTCAATAAAGTCACAAGCGTCTGGGTTGACTGTTTGCTCTGCACAACAAACCCTGAGAAGACCATGTTGAAGGGAGCGATACATAATGAGACACACCAGTGGAAATGTGTCACTCTCTGCGATCAGACCAAAGAAACCTGCTACAACGTCCAAAAATAGTCTGAGATGGAACATTTACAGACTGAGGCACAAGTCAAAGAGTGTGCATCTGGCTTTATATAATATAAACGACAGTTGTATGCGTGCATCTCACCTGATCGTGATCAATGTCAGAGTCTCCCGTGATGACGATGCGCTTCTCAATGCGAGTTTCTGACAGCCCGCCCTTTAGTGTCTGTCAATCATTAAAGAGACACAGACATGATGTGCACCGCACTGAACAGAGGTACAGGACAACACGTTATTCACAACAATTTACCAGCAATTTCTGAGTGAAAATTCAAGCTTTCAAAGTAAATCCTACACCAAATTTTTTTGATGTCTTTAAACACTGGTCGTAGATTACACTCACTACTGACATTAAAATACAGGGGAACCTGCTCAAGTAGAACAAAAACAAATGAAGAGGTTTGTCAGCTCTGCATCTATAACCCTACTCGTAACAGACAGTGTCAGCTAATATCCTACATCCTGAACAGGATCATCATCATCTCACAACCTCTCTTATCAGCCCAAATGCCACAGCCAGCGGCGTGTGTGTGTGTGTGTGTGTGAGCGTGTGTGTGTGAGAGAGAGAGCGTGTGTGTGTGTGTGAGCGTGTGTTACCTTCGTGATGTGTGTGGTGGTGGTGGTGCAGAGTGATTCGGAGGTGATGGTTTGAGCCGTCATGAGCACGCCTGGCTCCCCGTCTCCATTACCATCCAGCTATCAATCACAGACAGAACAAACAAACACAAACGCTCTCATCACTCTGACAGCAACACAGTTGCGTGATTCTGCATTAATGCCAACCGTTTTAGTCAATGTTGGTGAAGGTGTCAAAATTATGAGCAGCTTGACAGGATAGTTTCAAAGCAGTTCAATGACAGACAAGCCACTCTTTTGAAATAGTAGAACTAAACTACAAGATACTGACAAAACATAGCGAACCACATTAAAGCTACCTCATGGGGAAATATATGACCCTGGACCACAAAAACAGTCATAAGGGTCAATTTTTCCAAATTGAGATTTATACATCATCTGAAAGCTGAATAAATAATCTTTCCAATGATGTATGGTTTGTTAGGATAGGACAATATTTGGTCGAGATACAACTTTATACAGTATATATGATCCAGTGCAGTGACTCCTGACCTGAGCAAATGTGATTCCTATGATTTCACGTAAGAAACGTCACAGGATCATGTGACCCCTCTCACCTGGGCGGCCTCGTACGTGATGGTCTTGGTTTCCGTGTGAACGATGGGGACCTCCTTAGTGGATATCTCCGTCTTCTGAGCAGCAAATGTGTCTGAGATCGTAACCATCTCAGTCTTCACAACAGGAGGCTACGGAGAGACAGAGGCCGTCAGTGTGACACACGTACAAGAGGCATCCGGTCTGACGTCACAAACACACCACCACTACTACACAGCACAACGCAGAGAGGAAGCTCATGCAGCTCAAAGAAACACCACTATAAACGTCTTTGGTATAACGCATGCAGCCTACAAACAGACTAATAAGAACCAAAAAGTTTCCAAATGTCCATGAGACCATACATCAATGCAGTTTTGGTTTCGTGATCTTTGGCAGTGTTGACAGGACAACACAAACATGCAAAAGCACAAAAACACAGCGCTGTGTGCATACGATATCAGATGTTAATATATTGCGCTTTTATTTTTATCAGTACTTCAGATGTGTGATCATTTCAGTGGCATTACTGAAGTTTCTGCTGCTTTATCTTTACTAGCAGAGTGAAGAATCAATGTAAACACACTTATCATATAATTAGGATATCAAGTATGCAACATAAAACATGTACCACAAAGCCCCGTGCAACGATGCACAAGATATAAGCCCCCGCATGCAGCGCTCCACATGTGTGACTCAGAATATTGTGTGTTTGTTTGTGTGTGTGTGTTATGTGTGTGTGTGTGTGTGTGTGTGTGTGAGTAGTCGAGTAGGATGGAATATAAAATCAACTTAAAGGCGAGAGGATGGAATGACGAACATTTAAGCGAACAAAACGCTTTCTTTTATACTGCAATCGCTTCCTTTAGAAAGGGCTAGAGAGACATTTCAGCTTGAGCGCAGATAAAGCAGGATCTTCGTCCAGGAAGGAGGAAGGAGTGGGAAATGGAAGAGGAGATGAGGAGAAGAGTGGCGGCGCAGGGAAAGCGTAGACGGCCATCTCAGCTCGGGATGTCAATTACCTCCGAATAACAAATAACCTGCGGCAGGTGCTCTGTTTCGACGCGAGAGGCGCTGCCGTTGACGATGTGAGGCTCCTCCTTCTCGGCGGCCGCAGTTCTGAGAGTGGGCGGGGCTTCAGCTTGGAGGGCGTGTCCGTTGGGAGCTTCGTCCGGTGTCGCCAGCGGCTCGTCTGTACGCTCTTTCTCATGAGGCTGCGCTGCTTTCTCTTCCTCCGCCGCAGGGCCGGGCTCAGCTGCTTCTGTGATTGGCTGTGACTCTACCCCAGAGGGCGGGGCTTGTTGAGTAAGCACCGCCTCCTGTTCCTCCTCGGGCTCTTCTTTGATCTGCTGGGTGGAGATGCTCGTGCTGGGTGGCTGAGCGTGGTACTCCGCCTCCTCTTCGCTCTCGCTGTCTGACGATAAACTCCTCTCCTCCTTGACCTCCGCAGCGCACTCTGTCTCCGCGGTAAACGATGCCTCAGGAGCGGGGCTTTTGGGTTTGGCTTTGATGACTTCCTCGATGACAACGGTCTCTTCCATGACCTCTATGACCTCTGGCTGGCCGTTGACTTCGGGTTTGACCTCTGCGCTCTACACCAGACAAGCACACAAACACACACGAGGGATGGAGAGAAAAGCAAAAAACATAAACCATGACCACGGAACAAAAACTGAAGGAAACAAACTTCCTGCGGACCTTAGTCGAAGTCAATGTCATTGTAATGCAAATAAAAACAAGGCTGTGACTTAGAGATGTACAGTCTGTTCAATGAGTGCGGTTTTGCGGACCTTGAAAACACACTGAAATGTGTGATGCGTACTTGAGAAGCAGCAAAACGGTCTACAAGAATAAAACCTTGTCTGGTGCCTAAAACGAGAGGAAACATTGCTGCGGCTCTCAGAAGTCATCATAGTTGGTAAACTTCTTCAGTTGTGAACGGAAACTACAACAAATATAATTTTTGAGAATCTAATATAAATTAGAGAGATTGATTACTTTGCTCAGAAGAGATGTCATATTTGCCCTCCCTCTGCAGCAGTATTAACAATGTTAACTAGTTTTGTGTCATTTAAAGCCATTGTAATAAAACAAAGTACAGTGTTATAAATGTCAATTACATTTTTAAGTATAATCATGTCTGCTAAAGGGTCTATTGCTGAAAACTGAACTGAAAACAATCCTTATTACTGTATTACATCCACATTCGTCTCTCAATGAAATGTCTTCTTGTAAGACGCTTAGATATGTGACCCTGGACCACAAAACCAGTCTCAAGTGTAAATTTTTCAAAATTGAGATTTATACATCATTTATACATCAAGCTGAATAAATAAGCTTTCCATTGATGTATGGTTTGTTGGCTACTGCTACAAATATACCCCAGCGACTTAAGACTGCTTTTGTGCTCCAGGGTCACATATTTTTCTTGTCTGATTGAACACACTGTACGTCTATCGCTCACAGCACTGCTCTCATTGGTACTGAATCAAACATGGCGTCTCCTCCGACTAAGGTCCATGCACTAACACTGCAACACCACACACATACAATCAACAAGCAACATAACGAGAAAGAGAGACGATCATAACAAGCTGAAAGATGAATGAATGCATGGACAAACAGATAGATGATCAATCTGGTGAAGAGGGCTGGAGTCATGATGTCTGCAATGGAAAAAGGATGAGATGTGTGTGCAATGTTAGGTGCGTGTTTGCTCAGGTGATGTTAGGTGTTAGGCTGAGCGAGGACGATGGACCACCTTGCTGGCGTCTCTGATGTCCGTCTCAGGACAGGGAGGGGTTTTCTGTGGAACCTGGAGGTAATCATAGGACAGTCACTCAAACACACGCTCTCAGAGGAGTCCTTCACGGGACGAGACCTGCCTGTGTGACCCGATCACAGGAGATGCCTTTGAGACCAGCTCTACACGCTCATGTGTCTCAACTGAGCACCAGTGATCGGGCGACCCGAGACAGCAGGTGTGAAGGGGTCTGAGAGCCAGCAATGATCACGCACACAAAACAAGAAGTCTCACACACACGACGGCAGAGATGGAAATTAATGGCTAATTATGTTGTTACTGGAAGCTTATGAGCAGTCTGGCAATCAGACGCAGCAGTGAAACGCCCTCTACAGCTGATCTCGTGTGTGATTCACTAGAAGAGCTGTGTACTGATGGATGTCTGTGTAAATATAGCTGTAGCTCTCAAATCTCAATTATATTGTGGCAGATAATGGCAACATATTTGACACAGTTGACTGTGTTTTGATTTTGATGGTTTAATTGTACATTACTTTTTAGATACATAAGAAATAATTACGGTTTACATAATTCATATCTACACACTACTGTTCAAAAGGTCATTTGTTTTTTAATCAATTAATTTATTCAGTAAGGATGCATTAAATTTATCTAAAAGTGACAGTAAAGACACACAAAGATTTCTATTTCAAATAACTGCTGTTCTTTTGAACTGAAAAATTTAAATGTTTCGGTTTCCACAAAAATATTGTGCAGCACAACTGTTTTCAACATTGATGATAATCAGAAATGTTTCTCGTCTACAGGAATAGCAGCATTTCGACATGAACAGAGCAGAGAGCATGCGTGCAAACAACAGTGTTTGTAACCCAGAGACAGTGTTTCACACAATGACGGAATCAAGAATGTGAAACGTGTGCAAATAAAATGCAAACATCACACACACACACACACACACACACACACGTCAAAATGTGCAATATAGTCTTTTGGCAGGAGCTGATCATTTACACTGACTAATAAAAGAGCAACTTTAAAACGCATATAAATAAACGGAACATGTGCGCAGCTGAAAGAGACACAATGCATTGAAAACAGCAACTGAGATGAGCAAACAATGAGAAAAGCATTCTGCCAGGAAACACAAGAGAAAAACACAAAATATACTCGTGAGAGCAGTGAGGAAACCAAGGGACAGAATGAGCAAATGTGCAGCATGAACAACAGAACTCAAAGAGCCAATCAGAGTGAACTGATGCACTAATCAGATTGAGAACTGCCCAGCCATTGGCTCGTGTAGAGGACAGGAGGCGTGTGTGTGTGTGCGTGAGACAGTTGGGATTATGGGTCGTCTTCTTAAATCTACTTAGACTCAACCAGACAATGGTGCATTGTGACGTCAGGAGTGACAGGTGTTGGCAAAGGCATCTGAGAGGCACAGAAGTCAGCTGGTTTCCTCGACGGACATCTCGGTGACACCCGTCTAAGCAGCCATTTCTAGTCATAACAGTGCAGATCTACTTCAGTGGGGAAAACACGAACGCTCCAAAAGTTTGTCAAGATGGTGTTTCAAAACACATTTCAAAACAGGAATAAAATCGGATTAAGCTTTTGTTTTGCTCAAGCTCATGCACTTTTTGTAAGCTGTGTGTATTTGGGTAACCCTACAGCCGGTCAGGCGACAACTCACGATTCACAGGTTTTTAACTTGATTCAGGAAAAATGTTTGCAAATTCAGACCAATTCGATCAGATTCACAATGAGATTCAATTGAATTTCGAATAATGATTGCATTCTGGGTTTTTGTAAGTGCATTCATATGATGTAAATGCTTCTCCTAGCATGTATTAGGTAATAAAAAGAGTAAACACATTAAATATGAGTCCATACAGGCTACTTAAAATAGAACTGGGCTGCTATAATACATCGATGCATCACGAATCGATAATTTTTATTTATCAAGATTTTCCGAAGGCATCGCGATTCTCTCTTGAATGGATTCTGAGCTTAGTTTTTAACAGCAGACGGCACTGCGTGCTTTAGAAACAGCCGTATTCTGCTTGCTTCCAGTTACTTACACATGCAATGTTCTGATAAAATATTTTAGAGCTGAGAACACATTGCAAATTATTCCATATATAGTTTTTTTTTCCTAGGCTGAAACAAATGGTTCACAATTCCAAGTTTTAAGATCGATAGGCACTGGCAGGATTTATAATTGATGCATTGAGAAAATGAGTCGTTACACCCCTAATTCTTCGAGATATAAGGACACTTATTTACGCAATATTTTCCCAACTGTCCCATTGAACAACAGAAAACACAGTAAACCAGCTTCTCAGTAGAGGAGAGCGAGAAGGACAGGAAGTGCAGGACATGCAGAGCGTCTGAGGAGGCGTCCGAATCCCGAGCAGAAGCACACGTACCCCTTGAGCCTGCAGGCGCAGGGAGGTGGCAGGGCTGCCCGTCAGGCGCTTGTCCCACTGACTGGGCCTGGGATCGGGCGTAGCCTCCATAAAACTGCGCTTTAGCTCACTAATGCTAGCCTGATGCTTCAACACATCCTCCTGGGTCTTATCCAAGTCCTGATGGGCCCACAGCACCAGCGAGAGGCAGACAGGGGGAGGACAAAGGGACAACCAACAACCAGCACATTAGTCATGGAGAGACCAGAACCACATTAGAGTCGAACCTCACTGCTCGCCAGACGCACCCCAGTGGACGGATGGACGGATGTTAAGACCTGGAGTCCTGAGCTCTGTTCAAAGACCCAGCAGCAGGAGATAATATTTACATTGGCATTGTGTGCAGTCATGATGCCGCAAGGAAGCTCGCTAGATTTGGAACAGAGCCGTAGGGTTCTGGAACATCTCTCAATAAATAATGACGTCCAGCTTTATTGTTTTAGTCGTAATTTGACATGAAAGAAAATGAGGTTGTGAGGGACAGAAATACAGACTGTTAAGGCCCTGATTTACTAGTGAACTGATGAATGGGTGTAATGCCATTAAGAACAAAATAAGAACAAAAGGCTAGTTCATCTGGAGCGTGAGACAGTTGGGATTATGGGTCGTCTTCTTAAATCTACTTAGACTCAACCAGACAATGGTGCATTGTGACGTCAGGAGTGACAGGTGTTAGCAAAGGCATCTGAGAGGCACAGAAGTCAGCTGGTTTCCTCGACGGACATCTCGGTGACACCCGTCTAAGCAGCCATTTCTAGTCATAACAGTGCAGATCTACTTCAGTGGGGAAAAAACGAACGTTCCAAAAGTTTGTCAAGATGGTGTTTCAAAACACATTTCAAAACAGGAATAAAATCGGATTAAGCTTTTGTTTTGCTCAAGCTTATGCACTTTTTGTAAGCTCTGTGTATTTGGGTAACCCTACAGCCGGTCAGGCGACAACTCACGATTCACAGGTTTTTAACTTGATTCAGGAAAAATGTTTGCAAATTCAGACCAATTTGATCAGATTCACAATGAGATTCAATTGAATTTCGAATAATGATTGCATTCTGGGTTTTTGTAAGTGCATTCATATGATGTAAATGCTTCTCCTAGCATGTATTAGGTAATAAAAAGAGTAAACACATTAAATATGAGTCCATACAGGCTACTTAAAATAGAACTGGGCTGCTATAATACATCGATGCATCACGAATCGATAATTTTTATTTATCAAGATTTTCCGAAGGCATCGCGATTCTCTCTTGAATGGATTCTGAGCTTAGTTTTTAACAGCAGACGGCACTGCGTGCTTTAGAAACAGCCGTATTCTGCTTGCTTCGTTACTTACACATGCAATGTTCTGATAAAATATTTTAGAGCTGAGAACACATTGCAAATTATTCCATATATAGTTTTTTTTTCCTAGGCTGAAACAAATGGTTCACAATTCCAAGTTTTAAGATCGATAGGCACTGGCAGGATTTATAATTGATGCATTGAGAAAATGAGTGAATCGTTACACCCCTAATTCTTCGAGATATAAGGACACTTATTTACGCAATATTTTCCCAACTGTCCCATTCGCCTATTTTCAGGCGCTGCAAAATGTGACACCTTCGGCGTACACAGTACACGGTTCTTCAGGTATTGCTTGACCCCTTGAGCGAAGAATGAAAAACAACTTTGGTGCAAGTATAACAGGATCTTTATATGTTGTACATCCAGCTGTTCATATTCCCGCTGATACAACATTGCAGAACTTTTGTGGAAAGATGGATTTTCAGTCAAAAGATTGTAGGTGTTAAAAATGAGCTCAGGGCCTTAAAACAGTACAGTCTATTGCTCTGACTGTACGTCTGTCCCTCACAGACTCAATTTCATTTACATCCAATGAAATAAGCTGTCTAACTCAAACTAGTGCATTCACAAGAAGAACCCTACGGTCATCTTGCATAAGATCAATCAGTCTTCTCCATTTGAAGGGCCCTGGTAATCCTAGTAATGGTTTGATTCTGGTGAAACAGTGGGATTACGAGCATCAGAGGTCAGCGTCTGTGGGGAGCAGTGAGGCAGGACTTGTTTACACACTGAGGACTGGAGCGGTGCAGTGATACACTGCCTCAGTGCCAAAGACACACAATTATTTCAGTAGGTCATCAGTAGGTTGACACTAGGGCTGTGCAAAAAATCTAATGCGATTTTCATGCGCATGTCGTCAGTAAAGCCGATTCTGTGATTAGTAGTAAATCTCCAGCACAGAGGTGTAGTTCACTGACAAGCTACACAAAATCGCAGGCGATTCATTGCCTTCACTACTACTATACTATAGCTTTACTACTAATCACAGGGGCGGCTTTACTGACGAGATGCGCATGAAAATCGCATTCGATTTTTTGCACAGCCCTAGTTGACGCTGTGATTGATCTGTTTGCTTGAGCATCGGGACCTCTTAGACGACTCATTATCTGAACAAACTGCCAAAAGGAATGTAAAATAACTATTTAATAGTGTTTGGCGACAGTGATTACACACTTCAGCTTTCATCCCTGACATTCAGGCCACATTTTTCCAGGTAACCACTAACTAAATGCTCCAAATCAGCTTGTTATTATGTGACGTGTCTATCTCAGGGGTCATGAGCCAGGTGTCTTTGGCACTGAGAGGGTCACCCCAGGATGAGTACATTCATTTAGTTACAAAATAAAATGTAAACAATCACCAAAACCAAAGCAGAAAGTCACCTGTCTGATTAGGGAAATACTATTAGTGATGTTATGAGAACCATTCCCACATGACATTTACACAAATGTTAAAAACACCACATATCACGTACATTCAGTTCACCTGCAGACATGCACCCGCTTTAGCATGCAGTCCATGCACTGGTGCGCACACACACACTCACACTCTCACACACACTCTCTCTCACACTCTCACACACTCTCTCTCTCTCTCGCACTCTCTCTCTCTCTCTCTCACACACACTCTCTCTCTCTCTCTCGCACACACTCTCTCACGCACTCGC